CTGGCTCAAAGCTGCACAGATTCTGACCAATATGCACACACCAATCAGCCAGCAGACCAAAGAGGAAAGGCAACCTGTGGTACTCCTTCTGGATTTTCCCCTCTCCCTGCTGCAACCCTCATATTAAGGAAAACTATTCATTGTTTGGGTATTTTTACTTTTTCTCACTCCCCCCTTCCAATATCCTCCTGCCCACCTACGTAAAAATTTATGTTTTTAGGGCAGGAGATACACTCCCAGTGGGACTCCAACTGACTCCTATATTATTCTTTAACACCAAATATTTTAGCCCTCAATTTATTTATTTTTTGGCCTACCAAATATTCCTGAAAACACAGGTACAAACTTATTTATGCAAAAGATTCTCACTCATCATGTATTCATTTGATGAACAATTCTTTTTGATATTACAGAAAAGAATAACTGATTGCAGTATGAAAGAGAACAACAGTACTTGAAATTCAGAAACTGCATTAGACTATTTTTCTTTTTCCAAAATGAAATGCTATATTCTGCCCATACTTCTACAGAAACTTGCTAGGAGAGAGAGGATAAGATTAAACACCTCAGTTAGAATCAAATAGTTTTGAAAGTTCTCAGCTGGTATATAACAGGATACTCTGCCTAGAATGGGGTAAACCAACTTGAACAACGCCCTATTTGCAAAGCTATCTGTGCTGCTTTTGGTGTTGAATAATGCTGAAAGCAGACCGACTCATCAGCTCCAAAATTAAACATCCTGAGAGTGAGGTGAAGATGTAGCTGGCCTGGTAAAGTGCCTGATAAAAGAAGGAAAAAGTGATACTGCTGATAACTTGTCTAAAGCTGCTGAACTGACACAGCTGGCCTGCAGACATCTGAGTGAGCAGTCCCAGTCTTTAACGGCAGGGTCTTCTGACATCCCCCTTCTTGGGGTGTCTGTGGAGATATTCCCTTGGCTTGGGGGTGCCCCTCAAGGTTATTCCTCAAGGCTGAGCAAAAGAGATTTGCCTACAATCTTTGGTAGGAGTCAGTAACATCAATCTCTACTTGATTTTGGTTCTGAATTTGTTTTGCTAGCTTTCCCATAATTGCTTTAATATTGCTTAAAAACAGAGAATTAGCCTTTACCAATAGTTGTAGCTTCTACCTGTGGAGTAAATAATTCTGATTAAAATATTTTAGTCTGATTAAACTATTTTAGTCTAATCATAATCATAACAAATTAAATATTTTATATAAATATATCTGGTTTGCCATCCTTAATTCTGCAGGACAAAGTTGTACAAAGGTTCAATTACACTTGGATAATCCTTTAGACATAAACTGTTGATTAAGTCTGGGGCTAAGAGCGGATCCAGCCACATGTAGACTCCACTCTGAGGAGTTCAGAAAGCAAGGGGGTTTTCTCTGCAGCACATGACTCAACTAATAAGCTTTGTGTGAGGCTCCCATTCTGTCTGTGACACAGCATCACACAGGTAACAAGTTAATGGCTGAACCTGGGACCTTCCCTAGGGAGGTAACTAAAGGAGCCCATGGGGTCAGTGCGCTGCCATGTCAGACAGGTACAGTGAATGTGAAATCAGAGCTAAAAACACTGTAAAGCAAGTAATGATTCCTTCTGCCAGAAGAGAGATGCTAAAGGTTCCAAAGCAGGTGTAGGCTTATAGACAAAAATAGTATATTTAGTTACAAAAAAACCTCCATAACAGGTACACCTGTGCGAGGTCTTTTAGACTGGAAAACCTTTGTTGTTTTTTTCAATTATATTTGTGCTAAGAACAAATACTATCACTACTTGCAGAGTTGTCTCTTTTCTTAGGCCACATGGCTATGAACTACTAGAGAGGCTGGGGGACGAACAGTCACGAGACGTGCCAGCCATTTAATATGCACAGCATGCTGCAAAGACACTGACAACCTGACAAAGGAGCTGCACGGATGCCATTACTGGCTGTGAATTCACACATGGCATTCCCCTCGCTCCCGAACCTGAGGCGGACAGACGTGGTTTATATTTAGTATCAGAAACACACAGAACGGGGAGGAGCTCCTTGCGCTCCACTTGGGATCACTGACCAGAGCCCACAATCATAAACAGCCAAGGAACATCTCAGCCTCTCCACAGGATGATCAAAACTAGCAAAGAAAATGCTGTTGTACACTCTAGGAACGTTATAATGTTGGCAAAATACTGATTTGAAAGCCAGCTATTTTAAAAATAAGTCATGTTTAAGCACTGCCCAGGGCCTATACAATTAGCCTTGAACAGCTTAGAATGCTCGTGTGCATGAGAACAAAGCCTTTTCCCTGGTTCCTTGGATTAGGGTCAGAAACAGTTCATGCTTCCAGCTGAATGAGAGATACACACCCACCCAATAAATCACACAGATGAATTGGTAACTTACCTGTCCCTCGATACTTTGTTCAAAGTTCATGGCTGCTCTCAGGAAAACAAACCAGCAGCAAGTACCTGTTAAACCGAGATCTTTATTTAACAGACCCTGCTAATGGCACACGTACTAGCATTCGCTCTCTGCTTTTATAATTTAAAAAAAAAAATACTCTTTTCTAGCAGATGTATAAAGAAATTTTTCAGTAGAATTGGAGGTTGCAATATTGATCCTGCAAACCGATCACTGGGTTTTCAGGATAAATTCAAATTCCGTTTAAGATATTGTATCATTGTCCAGTTTTCACAACCAACAGTGTTATGAGATGTATTGTATATGGCTTTTTTATGTATAGATACCAATCACATTTCAGAAAAAAAGGTATATGCAAATACTAAGAAGTCAAAAATATGCATTCTAGCAAGGAAGGCAAGTTTCTTTTCCTTGGACATCATCAACATGAGTGAAAGCAGTCAGAACTCCTAAGCAGTATTTAATGTCATTGATATTTTTATCATCCAACCTGTTTTCCAACTAAAAAAGAAATATCAGTAAATAAATGTAGTAACTTTTTTATATCCTTAGAGTGAAAACAGTAAATAAGTTAAAGTACAGAATATTTTTTTAATTACTTTAATAAAACCAGTTTGCAATAATCAAAGTATAGTTTAGTAGGACTGAATTTGGCAGAGCTAGCATTTAAAGTAGACAAATAATGTCAACTCAAAATGTGAAACAATACATTATATCCTAAAAGGTATGTTCTCAGTATCAAAAGGAACACAAAATAAAAGTTTTTGTAACTGTTAGAACTTCTCTCTTTAACAATATTTTGCTGTGAGAAATCTCACTTCTGCAACACACACACAGATTTCCGGAACTTCATTCCTCCATGGGCATAGTAACAGGGATAAGCAGGAAACTAGAGTAAACTTCCACTACTAAGCTTGTAACAATCTCTTTGAAAAATAGAAATATTTTTTTCTGTATTTTTTTACTATTCTTCATGAATGTTATTTGTATTTGTTTCTTGATATTACACTGTGAAAACCCCATTTATTTTCAAGACCAAGCAGAGGATGTGTAGAATGGATTGCTTGCCGGGGCCAGAAGAGGGAGCTCAAATTAGGATTTTCACTTGTTAGGCTAAAGCAGCATGTAACTGTAGAACTGAACAGTAAAGGTACTTTCAAAACATTAATTAGACACCTATACAAGATAGATGTATCATGCAATTAAATTTAAGTAACGGATTATCCTCTCTGATTGGCACCTGTAGAAATGGCAATATAAGTCAGAGTTAAAGGTAAAAAGCTCTCTTAAAACTGAGCCTTCACACCACAGGTGATATCTGAACAAAATCCAAGTTGCCCTGCAGTAAATGCCCTCAGACTCACCTCTTCTCCTTTTCCCATCAGGCACGTGGAGGCATTTTTTCCGATGGGAAACAAAGCTTTGTAGGCTTCTCCCAGTTCTTGCTGTAAAGTCTCAGTACACACACCTGCTGTAAAGCCTCCAGCCCAAGAGACACCTTCAGGTATTTGTAAGAACAAACTGACTTTCACCTCTCAGTTCTCAAAGCAGAATCAGTTAACTCAGACTCTGATTTTGCCTCCTAAGCTGCACTCTCTGCCAGTTATTCTGTACCAAGTTCTTGCTGTGCTGCTTGGCAGAATTAAACCACCACACATGCACTAAATTTTATATTTTCCTGTCCACTACCTTTAAATACAACACATGTTGCCACAGCTCTGAATATGGACAAAGAATACAAAAGCACATCTCCCTGAGGTGATTCAGTCTGTGTTCAGACATGAGGAATCTCTTGGATAAATAAGTTTGTACCGGAGAGCATGCAATCATTTCTTTATATGCTATAAATAACATATCCATTTCCACTTAAGGTTTTCAGAAGTTTAGTGTAATAATTGTTATGGACAGTAACAGACAAACAGAATTGGGAGAATAGTATCACCAGAGAAATCTGGGATAAAGTACACAAGCAAGATCCCTTCAAGTAGCTCATAAGCGTGGAAATCGGTTTGCAAGTGTACAAAATGTCTTATTTAAAAAAAAAAAATTATATGATGGGAAAAACAGAGCCTACAGAAGTGTGAGAGAAGAAGGGTATAATTGAATTTTATGTCGAGGTGATGAAATCAACAAAAAGAGAAAAAAGATTTAAAGAAAATATTAAAATGTCAATATTAACAGAACAAACCTCACCACATAAAATCCATAACCAAGATGAGTTTAAAGGACTCCACAAATAAAGAAAATGTAACATAAAAGTCTAAAAATAAGACATGTCTTTTCTTTGCCCTCCTACAACCTAATATTTAAATACAAGGTTATTCTCTCAGACCTTAAACCCTCAGAGCTGCAGCTCTCTAAATATACTTCTTCATTCTCAAAGAAATATCTTTGTAACAGTTCTGGAGATTAGAAACATACTGATTAAAGAACCAATTTTATTACAATGAGATAATTAAAAATTAATTTCAGCAAAGGAACAAAACAGTAAACGAATGAATGAATAAATAGAGGTATGTGGATAGGCACAGAGAAAAATATTCAACGCAATAATGAGCAATGTGCCAAATAATAAATATTTATTCATTAATGTCACGGCTTCTTTGACGGCACTGGATTCCTCTCTCCCCGTTTAGCAGCTTTCTCCATTTTCAGCTGTAACAAAAAAAGACACCAGCAGTGGTTCAAACATTGATTAGCAAATCGGCTAACAACACAATATTAAACTTCTACATCCAGTCACAAATTTACCAGGGAGATGCATGCAGTGGAGAAAGGTACACAACATTATTATCCCACCCCAGCAAGACAAAGGAGCATTTCCATAGCACTGCAGCTCCTCCCCTGTTGAAACCAGGCTGCCTTATCTCTGATAATGGCAATCTAGGTATTTAAGTACCCCTCAAGGCCAGTGTGCCTCACAAATGCTCTCGTGTTTATCTCGATGTCAATGAAAGGTGGAGCAGTTTTATTGCAGATGGCTCACAGAGCCAGCTGGATGAACCAGCAGACATAAAACCACACAGGAATGGTGCTAAACCTTCTCCCTGCTGACCCACAAGGCCATGACTTCCTGTAAGATTTTTTCCTCTTGCAGTGTGCTAAAACTTATCAACACACACACATTTCACTCTGTCATTTTGTAGTAAGACTATTAATCCAAACAAATGTATCTCTAGTTTTTAGAAGCTACAATTTTTCTCAAGTACTGTTACACTTGTGAATGAAATCATATTTACAACAATTATATAAAAGGGATGCAGAGACTTTTGCATCCCATCTAACACGTATGCTGCCATTAAAAATGTAAGAAAAAAGAATTTACATGCTTTTTCCTGTCATAAAATAGTATTAAAAGGAAACAAGACTCATTGGGATCTCTGCAAATGAACACACTGCTAAGTAAATGTTGTTGGTCTACACAAAAATGTATTTTAAAACACTTTTCCCCCTTTGGAGGCTTGAGGTTTTTATCTAAAATTCCTACTAACTTTTGCAGAGAAAATAAAATCTTGGGGGTGGGAGAAGAAATAGAGAAATTTGAATTTGATATTTTCTGTGAAGCAATGTAATATTTGTAACATCTGTCCATATTTTGTGATGATTTTCAAAACAAAGAAAATTATTTTGAATTTCACAAAGCTAGAACAGCTTTCTCCTTAACAAACATCTTGTTTCAAGCCAGCAAGCAAAATAGTGAAACAGTTTAGATTTTAAAAGTATGTAACATTGCCTTACAAAAGAATTCATAAACAGTTGAGACATACTTCAGCTGAGATGGTGAAGCTAAGGGACTAATGTGAGGAAATAATAGGTATTTAAACATGGGAATAACCTATAACACAGGGTATTTAAATTAAAGACAGTGCAGTAGAGAAGGCACCTCTAAGTGAGTGATACAGATTATCTAATAAAGACCAAATTTAGCCAAACTTACACAGAGTCATTAAAAAAAAAAAAATAGAAAATTTTATAAGTGAAGTAGCAAACACACAGCCCTAAATGTCACAAGGGAGTTCCTGTGACTCTGCATTGTTGTTTCTTTTTGCCACAGAATAAAATGTTTCGGTTTTCTGTAATAGAGAGTTACCTCAATTAAAACCTGCCTGATTAAGGTAAATGCCATCCCACACACGACTGACCGCCGAAATCCCATAGTAGCTCATAACTGCATTTTAAAATTTATGTTAAGAAGCTACCTTTCTCAGGAATTGATAAGGAATTATATAATGCATTTACATGCCATTTAAATCATACATGTATGGGTTTTAAACATCCTCTTGTGAAAGTGTATTTAAATTAAGCAATAAATGTAGTAACTTGCCCGTTCTTGATAGCGTTTTTCAAAGTAAGCCATGTCATCGGCTTCTGATTGTTTTCCATGAGAAACTTGCCCTGTGCCTCTTGAACTACCTGAAAAACAAAACACAAGCAAAAAAGAAAACCCCCTTTTTATTAATGATACCTGCTATTCTATTAGTTATATTTTACATTTGGCAAAAGCCATTTAAAATGGCACCTCACCTTTTTAGGCAAGTACAAAACCCAGCATTTGTGACCAAAGAGAAACCTTTTGGGTCTAGGCTTGCACCTAAATTGTTTTAAAGGAGTTCAAGTTACAGTAATTGCTAAATATTTTGTACTAAATAAGGGACATAAAATAAGTGTAAGTGATCCACAATCCCATGTAGAAAAAGCTTTCTGGCAGAAGGCAGTTTCACAGGATTGTGCTGAATATGCACAACCCATTCAGATATGACCAGTTTCTAGGAGAAATTAAGAATTTTAAAAACTGGTCCAATGAATACATGACACCATTGATGGGCAACACTAAGAAGCACTAAGAAAAAAACTAATTTAAGGTAAAAAAAAAAATTGCAAGCAAAACCAGCAAGCACTTAGTTATTCAAAGATGTGAATTAAATGAATGTTATACTAACCACACAGCAAGGCTTCAATATTCATTTTAATGCCTTGAGCATCCTTCAATTCATTAATAAAATCCATTAATTTTATATAAAATTCTTTTTGTATAACAATATTATCCTACTTATACATCACCTGCTATCTGTGGCATGGTTTGAGCGGAACTCGAAGGCCCCTGAAATGCTTTTAGAAATGGATGATCCATGCTAGTAATGGGGGCTTCTAAAAGTTCAGCAGAAGGAGCACCTGTCAGAAAAGAAGTTGAATGAAAATAATAATTAACTCCAGAAGATACAGTCCTAATACATACCCTGGGGTCAAAACAAGGTTACAGATTCATATCTACAACTCTCAGCACAGACCCCATAAACTGGAGTTAACAAAAGCATTACAAGGATGGCTTCAAAAGGATTGAAAGCTTTGTTTTTTCAATTACTACAGTAATGTTTTAGTTTCTAAACTTCAGACAAATCCAGGAATCCAGATCAGAATTTAAAAAATAAATTATGGGTATGTGTCAATAATAGATAAAATAAAAAATAATAATAAAAATTATAAAATTTTAAACACCTTTTTTAAATTGAAAAATTAAATTATTATAATAATAAATAAATAAAAGTAAAAATAATAGATAAAACAATATAGATGAAACATGTGCATTATTAAATTACACAAAATCAAGGAGCAGAAAAATTATCAAGACCAACTGACGTATCCATTAAAAAGGTCTACCAATTACCTCTTTTTTTTATTCTGAACAGCTATTAACCTTTGAGTTTGGAAACAAAAATGCTGTAAATATATAACCAAGAAATACCTGGGCAGTACTAGGCTAAAGGACTAACATAAATAGAACATGGAAATACCAGGTTACAGGAAGTATTAGAACTTACAGGTTCTCTCTAAAGGATATGCTGCATTTCAAGCAGAAGCAACTGGGTTGAACACCAGAATTGTTAAAAAAGAGTTTTTTATCAGCTCACTACAGGGAGCAGGACAATGTGATCCCTTAACACCTGAGGACAGCTGTAAAGGAACAGTCTTTCTGTAGCTCTACTCCTATTAATCCAATTTGCCTTCCAACTTCGAAACTCCACTTTTCAAAACTTAGGTGGAGAATTAAAATTTCATCTCAGGTCAGCTGCACATACCTATTCCACTGTCATCAAGCCTCATGTAGCCTTCTGCTAGCGAACTAAAACCAGTCAGTCCTCCCATGGCAGCGTAAGGAACATCCTGCCCCACAGGCTTTCCTTGGGCTAAGCGCTCCTCTTTCGTTTCCACAACAGTTTCGTGAGCATATGCTGGCTGCCCACATGCACAGGTAAAGCAGCTATGAAAGCCTGAACACTTGGAACCTGAGAAACAAATAAATGAGTGAGATGGTGATGGGATTTAAGCATCCAGGTGCATGAAAAGGCTGTATAAAAGAGAAAGGACCACTCTTGGGATTAGATCATTAGTCGGAGGATCTTACTGAGCTAAGTTCCAAGTACCTCTGAGGATGGAGATTCCACCTCTCTGAGCAGCCTGGACCAATGCTGGACCAGAAATTTCTGATATCTGACTGTATTTCCTATGTTGCAACTTGTGTTCATTGCCATTAACAAGATGCCCCTCCATCCACTTACAACGAATAAAAAGAAAAGATGTTCTGACACTGGGTAAAGCTGACAACCTGCCATCATTTTGGCATCATTCCCTCCAAAGGTGTTTAGCAGGGCTATATCAGTGTTGCAGGGCTAAGAAACTTAATATCATAATTTATTACACAAATTATAACTTAAATGTCTTTTAAAATGAGCAAAATTTTCTCAGTAGCAAATAGAGACTGTGGAATCAACAAAATGGGTTCTATACAGGAGTATCATTAGACTGACTTTCAGGGTTTTTTTAAGCTTACACTGCCACAGGATGTAATTGAAATAGTTATACAAATGTTATATGACATTCAGAAAGAATTAAGTGACCTGTATGCCCTACCTACATCTAAAACTGTCATCAAAACCCCTCTAGAGCAATGATGTGACCAAGAAATTGAGGAAGTTATGTTGCAAATGTTTCATTATACAAAATACCCTGCTTCCAGCTCACAGTTCATTTTGTAGAGCACCATGAAAGATTTCTTTAAGTCTTTTGTAATATGTTGATCCCATTTCTTGATAATGTTAAAGGCTTTTTCATATTATTTTGGGCACTCCTCAGTAACAGAACTCTGTGTTTGGACACAGAATACAGTATATGCAATATATACAGAGCAAAAAGCAGTTAAGTTTTTCAGTAATAACTTATCTGTCACATTAGATTTATCAACACGGCACAAGAGTAATACCATTACATTAAAACAACAAGTCCAAAATAGAAGCAATTCTTGTAACTTCACTTTGAAATCTGTAGAGCCCTCAGAAGTGTCTGCTATTTTTTGAGAAATGCTAAGCAAAAAACATTATATATATTAATATTGGAAACAGCCTGTTCTATGCATTCAGCCTGAATTATCCAGATAAACAACTTAAGATTTTCACATTACTTAGTGCAAATTCTGAAAGGCTGTCATATAGATATTTTTGGTTTATTCTGTGGGATAACAGCTGGGGTTTTTTGTTGTTGTTGTTGTTGTTTACTGGGTTTTTTTTGTTTAATTTTTTTCTGTACAAAATAGAGACATTCCAGGAATGAAATTTAATAACAGTACAGAACTCCAGAAAAAAGAAAACCTTCATCTTACATAATTTGGGGTTTCAAACTAAAACATCTTCATGCATTGTTTATTCCTGTGGTTAATAATTGCTGTTGTTTCATAACATTAACCTCAAACAACTGTAGCAAAAAGATTCCTCTTAATCCATTCTTTAAGATCTTGCTGAAACTCCATTCCCATTTGAATTTCTGGACCCACAATCTCTATGGTCATGAGCCACTTTGTTAAAGTGCTAGCAATAGAATTATTTGGGAACAGTATACTACTTCCTGCTGAGTTGAGAAAAGACATAAAAATATAGTAATGTTATAGTCAACAAGGCAATAGAGGAATGGAGATCAACACTTCTCTGCCTCAAACTACCAAGTTCAGGTAGAAAAGGCATGTGCATGCAGCTGGAAGTGACAAACTGCAAACAGGGTGCTTTCTTACTGTCTATCTCCAGGTATCTGTCTTCATAAGCACCTGACCACCTATCTGAAGCATTCGGAGATTTAAACTCTTTACGAGACCTGGGGAAATGAAGGATGTTGTTCTAAACCCTCCTGTGCAAAAGGTGATGTCTTCTTCATCACCTTTTAATCCTTTCTCAAGGATGAAAACACACATTGGTGACTAGAGCAGCACACACCCAATACCCTGGGCAGAGCACAGCCCCCTCACACGCTGCTCCTGTTGAGTTTCCTGGCAAAGAGCGCTGCAAGCCCAGCAGTAACTTACAGGAGTTGCAGGGAAACCCAGGTGCTGGGCTGTGCTGGTCAGCGAAGTGCTTGCAGCGGCAGCGGATGGGCTGGGTGCCGTTCAGGGGGACAAAGTGGTAGGACTGGCACGGGCAACCCTTCACTCTGCAAGGCACACAGATAGGGCGCTCTTTGGGAAGCACCTCATAGTCTGTTTTGTGTTGTTTATACCTAAAACAGGAAAAGCAATAACTTTTATTACTTTAGTATTAGCATTTATCAGAAAACTACTTGAAAGGCTTATCATTTACCTCATAAATTTTATTTTGAAGTAGCTTTAATTGTATTATTTACTCTTAATTGTTAATTTCCAATTAAATATGTAATAGCAGGTGGTTTTGCATCTATTCGTTACATAAATATCACATATCCTTATGTCTCATTTTGAGAGCACTACCAGAATCAATCTGATCTAAGTTAACTCATGCCTTGCAGCTGAATTTATTGAGACTACAAAATCATTTTGGTCTCAAAAATATATTGACATTTGAATTTAAAAACAGTTCTTACTATTTAAAATGTAATTTCCTCAACCCTTAAATCTTAAATAAACTTGCTTCTGTGCTTCTGGGAATATTTCACATTTTTCTGATTTTTAAAAATACTAAAGGGTAAAAGAAGGGAAGGTACCCACCGGTGAGTGCAAAAGCACAGTGTCTCTGGTCCCACAAGCTTACAGTCCATGCCAGCTGGTGATCTCCAGCTCACATACAACCTGTTCTGTAGCCGAGCTGGTAATACTTTTCTTTTGTACTCCTCATATTCCTCTGGCGTAAAGAGCTTTCCTCCATCATCATCACCTACAATTCTGCATGCATGGCATAAAAAAAGCCATAAGAAAATGAAGACAATAAAAGTAGGTTTCTGCAGATTTCTTTTTTTCAAATAATATATAACAGAACTTTTCCTGTAAATGCAAAACAAATCTTGTATTTCATATTGCTCTTCTAATAATTTAACAGAACTATAGCTGATTTTTAGAGAATATTGTTTGAATAATGCTCTTTTAAAAAATTTAATCTGATGGACTGGAAACCAGTTCTAAGAAAGAAGAAAAAAATTAATACAGCAAACTACCAGGGGTTCTTTTGGAAAAAAAAAAAAGTTATGAGCATCAAGGGTCATGTAACCAGTCAGCTTTGCCTCAGACTTCTTGACTGACCTCTGGCAAGTCACTTCACCCATCTACACCCAAGTGTAGTGCAAATTTGTATCAGGAGATTAATTTTAGTCTAGTCCGAGTATTCATCTGCAAGCAGGTAACCCCACTGCCATCAAAGTAACAAACAACACATCCAAGTTGCCTTCTGATTTGCAAGAAGGCTATGCTAGTTTCTGTAGCTGAAGTTGGTGGGAGCTGTATCCCTCAGTCCAGACAGGCCCATTTGTTTAAGCAATCACTGTGCTCAAGTTCAAGGTCATTGAGTAGCTATAACTCTGGAGCAGCTTCCAAATTCTGCATTTATGGAAACAACTAAGGACAATAAAAAAAATATGGAAAATACAATTGAGACTTAACTGCAGCACTTACCTGTGCTGAAAGTGATTTCATTAATGTCTGTAAATATTTCAGTTATTCTTTATTGCTTATGCTAAAACATGCTGAAAGAGTGACTCTGTCAAATATTCTGTGGATTTGTGCACTGCCAGCACTGTACAGCAGCAGAATAACATGCCAACACAACGCTATCACTTGCATGTCGACCCAGCCAACACCCACTGAATCACTGCACATCTTACGTAAGGAACACCACTGTGCCTTTCTCTAGTGTTTTACTCAAGGTTTTCCTAAACTAAATTAAGATCTCATCTCAGCACAACGACTGCGTGTATATTCAGCCTTTCGAGAGGACCGCTGACAAGATTAGTGAAGACACGCAGCAGTGTAGGGGATTTATACAACGCAAAACTTGGAACTCGTGATGCACAGAAGTCGTGTGCTCTGAAAGAGCAGTACGGCTGGCAGATTATCAAATAATGGTATGGATTGGGCGGGACTTTAAAGACCACCTAATTCCAGAGCCCCTGCCGTGGGCAGGGATGCCACTGGTAGACCAGATGGCCTCCCACAGCATATCTCCTCTGCCGGGCTGGCCGGGGTGAGAGGGACGATGCGTGACTCCACCGCTGACAGCCAAGCATTGCAACGCGTCCTCACCAGGGCGCTCCAGCCACGGCACCTCCGACCGCTCCAGGGAGCGGCGGGCGCTGCGTGTCGCTCAGCACAGACCCCGAAGCGGCCAATTCAGCAGGGCCGGAGGCGAGCACCCCTCCCGAAAGAATCCCGGGCAGCGGGCCGGCTACAGGGGCTGCGACACGGCTGGAAACGCCCGTCCCCCGCCCCAGCGACCCCAGCGCGCCGCCGCTGCGCGCTCACCGCCGGTACTCCGCGTACTCCTGCAGGGCCCGCGCGTCCGCCCGCAGCCGCTCCATGCCCGCGGCAGCGCGCTGCCGGCCGGCCGGGCCCCGGCGCCGCCCGCGCACGGAGAGCGCAGGCGGGAGGCTCCGGGAGGCTGCGGCAGGCTGCAGGAGGCAGGCGGGGCAGAGGCGGGGGACAGCGGGGACAGGCGGGGGAACGGGCGGCTCCGGGAGGTGTGCGCGGCGGCCGGGGCACGGCCAGCCCCGCGCCGGGCGCTGTCCCCGCCGCTCGTTACCGGGCGACGAGTCACACACCGGGGAGAGGCTTTATTCTAGTCTTTACTCTTCTCGGGTTTATTCTAGCTTGCGCAAAGCAGCGAGCTAGGTGGTAGCCCACAAAAGGCTAAGTCATCAGAACTTTGCGGTATTTATTACATTTTACGAAGGCATCGGCGTTCGTTGGCTACAAATTGCACAGTTTTTCTACTAATTAGTATTCAGCCCCCTATTTGCTAGTCATACCTCTCACTTGTCATGCTAATTAGTACACAGGTACGGTTCTGCCCATTTGAGCCTGGGGTCTGTTTTGAGTACGTGGTCTCGATGGCCCACAGCTGGAATTACCTTTTCCCCCAGTTACTGCTCAGTTCTGCTGGCTTCAGTCGTGGTGGCTTTCATCCAAACAGTCCATTCATCTTGGAATTGTCTTCTCTTCTCCTTAAAACAAAAAAATAACCAACCATACAATGCAATTCTCAGTGCAATTGTTCAACCATAATTGCCCAGCTGTGGCTACTGATGAACAACTAAAAAACTTGCAAAGTTTGACTCAGATCTTGAGGGGCTCGATATCAGGGACAGGACACGTGTGGTGTGTGCACGCTGTGGGAAGGCAGTCACTCCCTGTGCCCCTTGGGATGGACACGCTCCCAGCAGCAGTGCCAGGGCACCGCCACACACACACACCCACAAGTGCCACCCAGAAGGGCACCCACGGTCTTGGGTGCCACCAGCCACACAGCACAGCACCCAAGACCTTCCAGTGCCTGCTCTGTAGCCACATTGCCCTCTGCTGCTGCTGCTGCTGCTTCGACCACCACTTTTCTGGTGGGTAGGTGAGGGGTATTTTTGGTTGGTCACTGACTCCTCTTCCTTTACAAAATAAAATATATGTTCCATTAGAAAATACCTTTTGCTCATAGTTGAGGACTACAGGAAGCCAACTTTGGGAAACATTTCTAACCAAAAATGGTTCTGAGACTGGCAACCTGCAGGTCCCAAGTCATCTCCATATGCTACAATCAATGTAACCACATTGGAACAATTCCTTCAATGCATTTTTAGTAAATCCACCACAGGCTGCTATTTCTGACACTGCACTATCTGTGTAAATCGACTGCTTCCCCTTGATACAAACAGACTGACCATAAAGTGACCAAATATGTGAAGAAAAAATATAGCACGTTTTCCTTATCAGAGCTTTAGGAAATTGGTATTTAAATTGTGCTCTGCCTGCTGGCATAAGCTGTGAGCCTTCAGACTGTCAAATTGAGATCCAAGAGGGAAGGTTTTTCCCACACCATACAATGATACTTCCCTGGAAATAAAAGATACAGCAATTCAGGAAAATCTCCACATAGTTTTGAACTGGGCAAGTCACCAGCAATGCAGCAGAAGGTGAAGAGGAATGTCAGTACCAAGGCAATGGTTTGCCAAAACATACCCCAGAGAGAGATGAAACAACAGGGACACTCTCAGGTTTCCCAGCAGTATCCAAATAAGATGATAGGGCATATGGTCTGGGCATTTGTCCTGTGGCTATGCCACATGTATAAGAAATTCCAGCAGAGCAAACAGCACTGCAACACTGACACATTCTGTCACACTGAGTTCTGAACACAAACAGGTCACCCTCAAAGGCAGGAAAGAGATGGGAGCAAGTCCTCACTGCCTCACATTTTCAAGTAACCTAGTGGAAGAAAATAAAATCACAGAAAAAAAAGCAGGATTGTATGGGAAAAGTCAGGGAGGAGAAAATTCCTCCTGTGACGAAAACCTCAAAAAAAAAACAAATGGGGGAAAGGGGATCTTGAAACCATGATTAGAAGGTCTGCAGAGAGTTTGAATATACTGAGCAAGACACTGCTCCACAGGAGCTGCACAAAACTGAAGATCTCTCAGATACCTCATCTGTATGCACATTTTGCTGGTGCCAGAGATCCCAGCACTGCCAATAAAGGGGGGAGGTGTGGGGAGGAGGAAGAGCTCTGGCAAGCCTGGTTCACACAGAATGAGCACATCTCCTGTGTCATGGGTTGATGTGCCTCATCTATGCAAGATCTTTGTTAAAAATAGTCCCCTGAAATACAAGTTTGGGTCTAGAGAGAAGAGCCAGGTTTCTTAATAGGGGTACAAACGTTAGTCTGTATGTCACTCGTGTCAGTGTTTATGCATGAACAGCCAGTGAGAACTTATTGAGAGTAGGAAATCAAGTCATTTTTTTGTGAGGCATCTGTCCTATGAACTACTTCCCATTAAAAAAAATCATGATTTTTTTTCCTTGCATTTAACTACAGCAAGCGTTTTGCAATACAGAGTGTCCAGTCTATTAGCACCCAGGGCTAATAAGACCCCTCCACCTCAAGATCTGCTTAGATCCAAATCTGGATCAATAGACTTACTTGGGAACATATATAAAAAGATACTTTGTAACTCAGAAATTGAGTTCTTAGCTAATAAAGGTATCTCAAGCACTCCCTTTTTACTGTCATAGCATGAGTATTGGAACACGTTTTGAATTTAGAAAACCCATTCCTGTCTCTTATCCCTTCTAGGAGATTGCCAATAAACATCCAAAATAAAATTCATTAACGACTGCTCAAAACAATTTTTTGGTTTTAGTAAACTACCAAATAATTTTGAATAGCGGGGAAGAAAAAAAAGAAGGCTTTCTGCTACCGTAAAGAAACTATGACACAAGGTAAGTAAAAGGAACAGGAATCCAGATGGCATGTTTTACTTCCTCTAGTTGTGATGTAGCATACGGATACTGCTGGCCCAAGATCTCTGAACACATCAAAGTGGGTTGAACATATGGACACATACTTACAGTACAGCTCTTTGAGACCTAAGGTGCTGCCTACACATCAAAGGCAACAGCTTAATGCTTCACAGGGTGTTGACAGTCTCCCTCAACACCCTCTGTTAACAATAAAATGTGTGACCCTTTAAATTTTTTAAAACCCTTACAAGTTTGACAAGTGCTTAAAATTATTCTTAGTGAAACATCTATAAATTGAGGATAGCCACTTCCCTAATGCAAAAACAATTAATTTAGGAAAAACCTGGTTTTATATTTTAGACCTCAAGCCAACCTTTTGAAGCAGTAGTCAGTCATTGTATTTCTATGGATCTGGTCAATGACTATCCGATTAGCTCTTCTGAAAATGAGAAGAATTTAAGTGGCATAAAGCATAACAGAAGCAGTTTCTGCCAAATTGTTTCCTCCCTCCACATGTGTTACCAATATCCCGATACACTTAAATGCAAGTACCGTTTTATAAACTTCTAACCATGACCACGTACTATGCTACAATAAAAATTACTTTGTGTATTATTAAACCTAGTTTACAGCAATTAAAAATGTTAACATGTTTTTCTTCAGTTTTGCTATCAGAGAATCAGAACCCAATTAGACACCAACTGACAAAGTAAGTTGATGAATGCCACAGGGACTATGGAAGCTCATGTGCAAGCAAGGATCAATTAATAATGAAAGGTTTTTGCTGGAGGTACTGACAAACACAGTTGGGAAACTTGTAGTAATTAAGATCACTCAGAGATAATTCAGCAGCACGTGACACCACTGGTGCTTAAGAGATGTGATTCCATTAATGTATGTTGTTGAGTAGAGGCAATAGCAGTTGTTGGTTGTTGTAAAGTTGTTTATTGCATTAATACATCAGTCTCGAAGGTGAAGAGTTCGGAGTATTAAAAGTCTGTGCTAAAAGCTTTCTGGCATAGAGTCCCAATGTTCCAAACAGCAGCAGCTTCTTTTTCCCTTCTTTCTTCATGTGGGTTTTTTTCACCCCAATACAGGGAGATTTTATTCATAAATCATCCAATCAGCTAAAAACACGATTCTAACACATTCTTCCTACACCAATCTGAGTTTAATTCTAATGTGTGAAAGTAGCACCAGTTGTTACCCAAAATCTATGTATATAGTTTTATCTGTTTATGCAAATAGTTCTACCTGTTCTATCTAGAAATGCAAGCAATGTTCTACTATGTTTTTGTTATGTCTGGAGCTAAGTTGATTTTGTAAAAGGTAACACTACTAAACTTTAAACTAGGCTTTAGGGCTTTTTACTAGCTAACAGTCTCTTAAGGCACTTAAGATATATTTCTACTTACTTAAAACTAAAACTTACACTCCTACTTCATGTCTGTGGCTTGATATATTTCAGTTTCTCTAAGGCTCCAATTCAATCCCTGCATTCCTTTCTCTCTCTGAGGGACTCAGAGAGGCTTCTATTTCAGGCATTCCAACAGTAAGTAATGTTAATTTTTTTTTTAATTTGGCTTCATTTTAATAACCTAAAGGATATTTTCAAATGCCTATGTATGTCATTCCTTCTTTCTTCAAACTGAAATCAGTGAAATACCCATTCAGTACCAGTCTTTTCCACATGAAAAACAGCAGAAGTCTAATTCACTTTTTTGGCTGCTACAAAGGAAAGTCCCCCATTGCACACTTACCTTTGAAGATGGCATGCTATCAGATACACTAAACTGAACCCCAAAGACAGCAGACTCCTTGTTTTGTAAAGTACAAAATTATGAAAGAGCACAATCATTATGTAAGGAGGGTCATATTTGGATTGTTAATTGACATTATAGATCACCTTTCAAAATACATCTATTTTACATAAGAATGTTTTAGACATTCAGCTCATTCCATTAGTCAGTGTATTTTTAGGAATTAAAAGGTTTTCAAGAAAACGTAATAAACGGGGATGTTTAATTTTATGCAATCGTTTCTCTAAATAACTTCTTGATAGAGGTTCCCAATTTTACTCTGCTTCTGCATTCCCATAAACAAAGGCTGTGACACCTCAAATACCCC